TTATGTTTTTGTTAGACAAAATGCCATCAAACGATAATCTATACACTATAATGCTGAAGCTATAGGTTAAACTCTACTTAAATGTTAAGTGTAGTTGGGGCAAATGGCCATAAAAAGAATATTGTATTATTTATCATTAAACAAATGTCAAATTTAACCATCTCCATCCAAACCAGTAATAAATCCGACCCAACTCGATCGTACAGACTATTTCTTGTTCTATGTTGAATTTTATGATTCATCTAGCTTATAAAACTCTGTTAAATTGATTTACACAGAGAAGATTTAATTATTGAAATATATTGTAAATCAAACCAAAATAGTGTTAAGCCAAAAAAACTTAATAATGACCGAGGTATAATAACATTTTCTCAACAAATATGTCTATGGGCCAATAGGTATTATACATATCCATCATCATATATATGTAATCAACATTTCACTTACGTGTTGTACACAGAATATTCCATAAACCACAAAAAAATTGCAATAACATTTTTTATTTTATTTTTGAAAATTTAAAGAAAGTTTATTTTGCATTATTTGGTTATCTTACTTATTTAAAATTAAATAATCATTTCAAAATTGAGAGGAGGTTATTTTACAAAACTACTATCTAATCATTTAAACTTATATATATATATATATAGAGGCGTTCCATACCAAATCAGCCGCGACTTTAAAGTTTTGTCTCCAATTTTCTGCAAGTTCGTAGGGTCATTAAAGGACCCTAAGTAATGGGAAAATGTAAAATTTTAGCAAATTTTTTATGAACTTTTGTGGATTTTATAGTATATACTTAAAAAATCGTCAATTTTCTTTATTTTTGAATATTTTGAAACCAAAACTATAAAAAGTCTGAAAACATTCACATCTACATGTTTATATGTTGTTCTCGAACAATTTTTTTTTTTAATTCTATCTCAAAAATGTATAACCTAACTACTTGTTTTTATAATCAAATTCAATTTTTTAAAGTATTTTTTTAGTAAATTATTCTTCATTTAAAAAAAATATTAAATATAAATGTTACCATTTAAGTTTCGAAAGTCGGTAAAGCTCCAAGAAATAAAAATTTGAATATTTTCTTATATTGTACTACAACATAAATAAAAATGTTTTCAAAAAGAAATACTACAAAGTTGTAATTATTTTAAGAGTAAACTATTGTAGTGCGTAAAAAAGAATCGCCCGGTACATGGCTATTAGAAATATTATAGCTATGAGTACAGCTGTTGTAATCTTATTGAACAAATATTGTAATCTATTAGACGCGTAGGAGTCATTAACTCCTAATAAAATTCTCCAAAACCACCTTACATAATGAATCACACGTGTCGTTATTAAACAATAAATTATGAGGTAATCTGTATATTAATCTGTATAATATTCTGTAGACGCTTATATGTAAATTAAAAATTGTACGAAGTTAAAAAAAAAATTATTAAAACTTGAATGGGGTACTATAATTACGCTATTTTCACGTCTTGCGGTTACTCCCATTTGGATATCTTGGCTCGCCAGTTTCGACTGGTTCGCCTGTCAAGATATCCAAATGGGAGTAGCCGCAAGGCGTGTAAATAGTGTACCAAGTTTTTTAGGAATATATTATTTATTTTCAATAATTGCATATGTGTCTAAAAACTAATTTAAAAAAAAAAACCAATACAGTCTAAGCCAGCTGAGAACGTATTGTTTTTATTTGAATAATTCGGCCAAAAATTCACATAAGTTCTGTACTACCCTTAGGTTATAGATGATTTTTACTATAGGTTTAACCAAAAAAAAAAAAAATTATACTTGGACTAAGTACACCTATAATATACATGTAATATGAAACATTCCATATGACTCAAATGCCAGTACAGCATATTTACAGACATTTTTTTTAGTTTTTACAAATACTCGATCACCGTGACGGCAAACTATAATTCGTTCATTATAACTAAGTTGACACAGAACACTGGTAAAGCGCGAATGAAAACTCAGTAGATAATATCATATTGTCGTTTTTATATTTATACAAATTGTATAGGTTATGGTGCCCATTATTGGAACCTATCTCCCTCCATACCACAAAGACCTTGATTTTTCGCTTCTGCATAAAATAAGCAGCTAATCATATTAGTTACCTTTATACAAGATTTCATACGGGTTATTGTTTACTTCCTTTCTATTCCTCAAACATAAATGTACTTCCTACCTCTATTTGTGTAATCCCATTGTACTAGGTACAATATTCGAAATGACCTATGCCACCTATAGTGTGGTTAGACTGTTCTTTTTTAACAATACTGTTTTCTATAACACTTTTCATATCTTAATATTTAAAAATACAATTTTTAATTTAATCTATGGTATATCATACTCGTAGAGTGAAAATATAAATTATCAAATTGTTATTCTGAAAAATGACAAGCATACACGTTTACGATAGTCATGGTTAAATAAATAAATATTGTAAAAAATCATAAGGATAAAACCTTTTCAATTTAAAAATTGATTACCAAAATACAAATACAATTTTAAAATATCTTCTCAACTTTGATTACATCTAAACATTGTATCGTTAGGCTATGAAATCAAAAATATATCCCCAAAAATTCGATCACTAATTTTGATTTACCTCGCCATCTCGTTTTTACAGATTTCTTTATTTTTATAAGTCGATACCATCATTCCATTTTCTTAAAGAGTGGAGAGAAGCGTTTGAAGGGAAAAGTCTGAGGATCAGTAGGGTGAAACAAAGGCAATCGTAATTGATTTTGGAAAAAGTTTTGGAACACGAAAGGTAATGCAGATGTGTGATGATAAAGTACGTGAGGTTGATAGGTTCAAATACTTAAGATCTATAATAGGTAGGTTAGGTTAGGTTAGGTTGGACAATCTTGTAGGAAGATGCCTACAAGATTAAACGTACATTTTATAGGACGGAAGTGCGCCCAGCCCGATTATATGAATCGGGATGCTGAGCACTAGACAAGAAAACTGAACAGAGAATGAATTTATCGGAAATGAGAATATTAAGGTGGATGAGTGGAGTGATTATGGTGGATAGAATAAGAAATGAATACATAAAGGAGAGTCTAGGAGTTGCATCAATTGTGGGGAAAAAGATAGAGAATAGGTTGAGATGGCTCGGTCATGTTATGGGGAGAGACCAGGCAGAGGCAGTGAGAGTGGTTGTGAAGATTAAAGTAGAGGAGAAGAAAGGAAGAGAAGAAAAGATGGATAGAAGAATAGAGAGCGGTATGAGGATAGCTGGAGTGATTGAACGAGATGTAGAAGATCAAATTCTACTGCAATAAGGACTAGGGTGGTCGATCCCACGTAGTTTGGTGTGTAAGGCGAAGATGAAGAAAAATACCATTATCCCATTTTCTACAAATCTATTCAAAATAACCTCTGTTTCTCTCTCGTTAACATTAATAGTTGTACATATTTTTTTCTTTGTACGTTGTTGAAGTTTGTTTTTTTAAATATGTAAATTATACGTGTATTTTGTCAAACTATAACAAGTATAATACGGACAAAATTCAATGACTTACCTAAAAATAAAAAGCCATTACATTAGGCTCGGACAATAGTAAGGTCAATGGAGTCACGTCGCTATGGAAATTATTATAACTGAGAGTGATCACTCAACGAAAACGTTTCAATGCGGATTTGTAAATGACACACATATTAATTCTGTGTTAGGACGGTAAATGTTGATACATCACTTTATCCAACTTTCGGCAAAATACAATTCAAGTTTTTCAACAGTATGTATTCTTATATTAACTTTTATATTAGCAACTATATCTTGATTATGAATGCACTAAAAACATACCTTATTCTGCCACTTTTTGCAATACTTACTCGTATTTTAAAACATATTATCAGTATAATTATTTCAATATATCGGTAGCACTATATCTAAAAACCATCTCAAACATGGTTGGAAGTTAATAGACTATTTCTGTTAAGCTATAGCTTGCACGACAATGCAAATTGTGTAAATTTTTCGCGATTTTGAAGGGGAAGCGGTGAAATTTTTAAATTTTTATCCAATTAATTATCTTTAGGTACCATTTCATATCTTTAGACTTGCTACTTGAAGATATCGATTCAGCTGTTTAAAAAATATCATGGGTTTAGGACAGTAGACACAAAAATAAAGATACATCATTGTAAAACCAATCTTCGCTCCGCATCGAAACTAGAATACGTATACATTAATTGTACATCACAAATGTTTCAAGAGGCCTTCAAAAAAATATATAGCTTATCAATTTCTTCTCTTATCCTTCCAGCTGACATTGCAATACTCAAAGCAATTAGTTTGGTTTAGTTTATAATTAATATTGCCATCTTAAAAAATGAATAAAAAATAATAATGTAAAAGAAGCGTTTTCATTTTACAATATAATGTCTTTCTTGTTTTTTTTTTTTTGAGTTAGGTTAACAGTAAATATAATATAATATTTCTTATTATTTATTTTGAATCAGTACGAATGTCTAACGGTGCTAGACTATCGAGGAGTTCCAATAAATAAATCAAGAATTTGCTTTCAGACTAAACCCGATTTGCCAATTTTGTTCGTTCTTATATAGAACTTAAAAAAAAAACCTTCTCATGATCACATCAAAGCTAATATACATGTGTAAGAAATATGTATATCCCACGCCTCTCTTGCTAAATTGCACTTTTGTGATATTTCCCTTCACCGTTCTCTCAAAAAAAAAAAAGCCTAACCCAACCTAACCACCCGATTCGTTTGAAATATATATAGGTGCTCACTTTCGATGCAGAACCGAGCAGACAGACAAATAGTATAGTATTCAGCAGTTGAATGTGGGCCGAAGGCCAAAGATTAGTGGAATAGAGTCCGCTGTTTTTTTGTATTTAAATTGTAACGGTGCCGGGTGTGCCGGGGGAAGTAATACTGTAAGGTGACCCCCCCCCCACTTGTGTTCTTATGGGCTTGTAATTTAAAAAAAAAAAAAAAGGTACTCACTTAGAATCGGTTTGTTTAGTTTTTTTTAAAAGAACTTTTTTTTTCCCAATTCTTCTGTACAAAAAAACGTCCAACGGCGTTTTAATAATTTATTGAGTAGTTAAAAAACAAAAAAAAATCATGCACCGTACACACTCGGATATACATGCACTCACGCGAGTACCAGAAACTCGCACACGTTGGTTCACGCGCGCGGCCGCTAAACAGTGGAAGCTTCGGTCTGTCTGTTGTCGGTCCGTGATCGTCGGGCTAACTGCCGGCGGCGGCTCAGCATGTGACTAGTCGGTATACACAAAACGGCACGACGCGGCGGCGGCGGCCGTTACCTACTACTATTACACTACCGGCGACACCCGCACTCGCACGCGCCAATCGTGCCGGCGTTATACACACAAACACAATATGCATAACAATAACCGACGGTTTTTTTCTCGGTCACAACAGTATGTCCTCCCCGTTAAGATTTTTTTTTTCTTTTTTGGACATTCCCGATGACGTCTACCCCCCCCCCCCCGTCTATTATAGTGTAATACGTGTACAGTACTACACGCAAATTTTTTCGAAATTTCACATCACGGCCAGGCAGTGGCGGCGGCGGCGCCAGAACTTCGTGTCCGGGTGGGCCCACCTGGGGCCACTGAACTATAGGAAGGGCCAGTGGCGTAACGACAATTGCCTTACCCGTCGGGGCGGTAAAGACTTACAATATTACAGGTTAACAAAAAAAATAAAGGTCACTATCGAGGGTAATACCAGGCGTTTTTTAAAACTTCAATAACCCCATCCCTTTTCGGTATGTTACTAAGTAAAGTCATACTATATCCACCAATTAAGCAACACTTCTTAAGAAAAACATAACAATTAACATATACTTTCAAAATTACAATGCTTTAAAACATTTAAAATGAACAGAATTTAATATAAAACCACACAATTACAAATGTACAAATGATAAAAGTCATTTAATTTAATTAACAACGATATTGATGATATTTATTTTAATATTATTCTACGATTATTGTGAGAATCAGCAAATCTATCTATTATAATATTATCAATATTTTAAAGCTTAGCTTCTGACTTTTCAATAGAAATGATACTTAAATTAGAAAGATTTATTTGTAACATGGAATTTCTTAGATATGTCTTAATTCTTTTCATTCAAGAAAAAGTTCTTTCGCATACTGCGGAAGAAACTGGTATAGTAAATGCAATACTACAAAGCTTAAATAACTCGGAAAATGCTAGTTCGTATTGCATTAGAAATGCACGCAATTGAAAAAATACTTTTTATAGAATTATACTTATTTTCAAAATGTTTTTCTGCTTTTTTAATAATTTTTAACTCTGAGTTTAGTGTTTCAACATTACATCCATAAAAGCTAGTGTAAATGGTTGAATGAGTTCTGCATTCAAAAAAAAATTTTTTTTAGGGTCAAATGCACAAATGCCCATTAACAAATTTTGAAAATATTATTATGTAATACTAAACAAAAATACTTTGAAATCATACATGGTGGGCCAGCCGGAGGCCGAGAAGATTTTAGGGTGGGCCGCGGCCCACTCTGGCCCACCTTCGGCGCCGCCACTGTGGCCAGGCGTTTGAAAATTCACCCAAAGCCCTTAAATCTTCTTCAACCACCTTTTTCTAGTTCCAACGCGTCTTCTTTTTATTGTGGTTTCCATTCTAGTGCCGCTCTAACAGTATCATTGTCATTTTTTCTCAATATGACATTTTGTAATGTTTCTTTTTGAAAATATTTTTGTTTATGCTACATTATTGTAAGAGACAATATGTTAATTTTTATCTTTTTTCAGAGTTTTCTAGAGTTTTATCAACTTTGGAAACTTATATGCTAATGTATATATTTTAAAGTTAACAATAATTTGCTGACAATTTCGACTGGTTAACGTTGCTCGTACCGTGTTTGCCTGTGGACTGAGCGATCCGATTCCGCAGGCGTAGGTTATATACCGCACTCTCCGCCTCCTCCTGCCGCTGCCAGCTGTTTTCTTTAGCCACGCCCCTTCGCCTTGGCTGGTTTCCTTAAGTCCTTTTTTTTAATTGACGTATCACTGATTTCCACGTTTTGCTCAATTTCCGGTTGAAGTTCGATGTGCATTTTTCAATTTCTATAGGTTCTCTCACCTATATCTCATCTCATCCCATTTGAGATGTGGTGTTTCCGCAGGATTCTCACTATATTTTGGGTGGACAAAGTTACAAACACAGAAGTGTTAAGAAGAATAGACAAAGAACCAGAGGTGATGAAGATTATAAAATCTAGGAAGTAGCAATATTTTGGACATTTGCTTAGAGGTGAAAAATATCAGCTCTTGCAGCTCATAATACAAGGAAAGATTTGCGGGAAGAGGAGCAGGGGAAGACCTAGAACGAGCTGGCTGCAAAATCTAAGAGAGTGGTTCCAATACAACACTGAGGAACTACTCAGTGCAGCCAAGGACAAAGAACATATAGCCATGATGATTTCCAACCTTCGATAGAAGAGGAACACGAAAAATGCCAAAAAATGTTTTATGTTTAAACTTTAGTGTCTCAAAAATTCTAGTAAATAGTACCTAATATATTTAAAAAGATTAAAATGAAGAAAAAATATATATGCAAAGAGTTAGACTCGTGTGATTCATCACAAAATATAAGACATATTGTTCATAACAAAGTTGTATTTAAACATTATTAAAAACATGGTCCTATTTAGCCAAAATCTCGATTTAGTACGATATAAAAAATAAAAATATAGACTGACAGATTGTTGACACAATAAAAATAGCACGAAATTGTGTCAAAATTATAAATCCAAATATTTAATTCAAATAAATAAAAAAATTGTACACTTGACAGTGACAACAGCTTCTGTAGAAAGAAGTTTTTCTAGATTAACTCTGGTAAAATATAAAACACACTACTAATTTTGTCTAGTTCAGCTATTAATATTGCTTTTACATTTTAATTTATAATTTAAAGTCAAAAACAAATTAAGAACCAATATAACACAATAAAGACCTGAGTCTTTGATTTTGGTATCGGTTGAAAAAATAATTCTTGAAAAAAATCATTATCCAGGATTATGTTTGCAGAAAAAAATAGACTTATAAACTCGAAAATATAAAACTAAAAATAAATATTTTATGAAGTTTACCAAAGCAGATTTTTTTAAAATTAATATTTAAAAACAAAACTTAGATACCTTTAAGTTTAATAAGTATAAAAAAAGTGCACTTACTAAATTTGTATGTGCCCATTTAATATTAGTTTTTAGGTCTTAAGCGTATGAACAATTTTATCATATTGCTCCACCAACCAAAATGTCTAGCTACGCCACTGTATACACATATATAAATATTCACTATGCTATTAATATTTGCTATACTTATAGACTGCATATAAAGATAGTGCCAATAAAGTATCAAGAAGACCTATAACATACACATAATTTCGACCTTACGTCTACTTAGCCTATAATGTATCACTATCTAGTCAATAATGGGTTTATAATCATGAATCGTGATATTCCCCCCCCCCCCTATGAACAACTGTGTGTTCAAGCGTAAAAGGTTTTTAACACGTTTTTTCTCTCCCAAAAAAAAATTTGGCTATTTTGAAAAAATTAAGTACTAAATTTAGACATTAGGTACATGAATTACTCAATTACGAATGAGATAGAAGAGATACCATATGGCCCTCAACCACAGATTGAGAAGCCAACAAGAAATGAATTCGATGCGGCTATTATCAAACTAAAAATAACAAAGCCCTGGTGGGAGGACGATATACCGGGCGAACTGATAAAAAATAGCATCAAGGAATATAAAGACACTAAACATTTAAACTCATAAGCTGTATATAGAGCAAAAAAGAGAGTTGCCAAAATATTGGAGTAATGGAATCATATGTCCTATTTTCATGAAAGGGAATAGGGCAGAATGCGCAAACTTCAAAGAAATTATGCTGCTAAGTGTCCCATATAAAATTTTATCAGTTACACTGCTGAAAAGGCTAGAAGCATGCTCTGAAAAAATACTGAATAAGTATCAATGTGGCTTCCGCAGCGGATAAAGAACCACTAACCAAATTTTGTATAGTAAGACAGATAATGGAAAAGTGCTTGGAATTAAACGCTGTTACACACTTTTATTTATTGACTATGGACAGACCTTTGATAGCCTAAATAGATCAGCAATGAACGTAGCACTAACGAAAAACGGAGTTCCTGATAAAATAGTAAAACTTATAACTATGAGCCTGGCAAATGCGACAGGAAATCAAGATGGGAGGATCAATGTGCGATTCATTTCACATAGATTCAGGGGTCAGACAAGGAAATGCCCTATCAGCAACACTGTACAATATTGTTGGCATGAGGAACCGTGCATACTTTGCCAATATCGCACTCTTCAAATCAAAACTACAATCGAAAGTTACTAAGATGAAGCTAGACAAAACCAATTGGAGCAATGTCCCATAATCTGCTATGAAACTTGGACATTGTCAAAAGCAGATACCAAATGGTTAAAGATACTTGAAAATTACAATAATGTGAAATACATAAAATCATGTAGAACCATATGGTTGGGTCATGTCGAACAAATGGATGAGGAAAAAATAACCAAACGCATAATGCATGCAAGAATTGAAGGAACCAGATGGCAAGGACGTCCAAGATGTAGATTGCTGGATGAAGTAAAGAAATATCTAAAACAGATGGGTGTACACAACTTGAGAAACGCAGCTAAAGAACGGGACGAGTAGAGAAGATTTATTTTGGAAGCCAAAGGCCACTATGACCTGTAGTGCTCAGATGTAGTAGTAGATTTAGACATTCGGTCTAATTTTCAGTCATTACGTTCAAAAACTATGCCAAAAAAAGGGGAATAAAAGACAAGTTTCCACCTCTCCCGAGGGGTAGTAACTTAGTTTTTGACTTCAGATAAGTAGAGTTTTACTATTATATGTATACATAAAGAAAATCCTTAACGAATATAAAAATATTTTGACTATTTTTTTCGAAAGGTATCTTCACTTTACGTCGTCTCCCATGGGAGGTAGGCGATCATACTGGCACTTCTAACTTTAAATGTGCTGGCTCGGAACAGGTCACCTGATATTATATTAATACTTCTTAAAACATACTACATTATACTATTCCTTGAATTTTACCCTGGATATTAGTGGGTATAGCTTGCCGTAAACATGAACCATTTTTGACATTTTCATGTCTTTGCTATGGCACATTA